GTATAATATTGTATTATATATTCTTAATTATTAAAAATACCAACTTTATTCAACAAATCATAATCTTTTAAAACATTAAAAAAAATTTCAGAAATGTTAGCACCAGAATGAGGCCCATTCAATTGACAAAAATCCAGAATTGCATGTTTAAGCTTCCAATCATTTGTAATCCAATGACTTGTAATGCATAAAAATGCAATTTGATTTTTGGAGGTCCACCCGTCTAACGAAAAAGAAATTTTACTAGGTGTTTCTTGTAACTCTTTTTTTAAATTTTCCTTTATCTTGTTGAAATTATTATAAATAAAATTATGGATACTATCTGCAGATGGGATTATAGCTTCTTTATTAAGTCTTTTAATCATCTTTCGAAATAATTTATTTTCTACAACTAAAAAGGATTGGTCATTAGCTACAATCCATTTAACCAAATCATTTTTCCAAAATTCTTGAGTAAAATTCTATTATTTATTAAAATATTAATTTTATTAATATGCATTCATATATTAAAAAAATATTTTGTACATATATAAAATTTCTATTTAAATGTCTAAATGTAAAGAAATTTCATCAACACTTGCATCTCAAGGTATAATTGACATTAATTTACACTATGAACCTTTTGTTTGTTGCTGGTAACATGAAACTTCTACTGAAAATGGTTCAGAATTTTTGTAACAAATTATAAAAATGGCTCTTAATAAAATAATAATTACCAGTTTTTCATTTCCTTTAACAAACATATCCATAGGTCCAACTTGTTCTCTATTTTCAATAATGTCTTTGTGAGCTTGATTGAGATGCCTATTAAGTGTAGATGTGGAACTATATTTTGGAGCTTTATAAATTTTGCTAAAAAAAATTACAGATTTAAACAATTTTTTAAATAATTTTGTGAATTTATTTTTCAAATTGATAAACAATTAATTGAAGATTATTCTCAAATCTACCTGCAATGGTTGCAGTTGTATTCATTTTTTTGTTCATTAAAAGTAAAATGAAAATGCACAATTGATTGCTTTTTTCTTGAGGTTCTGTCACTTACAACAAGATCAGTTACATCGCTCACATCTTGTGAAGAATTATTATTTTGTGAAAAAACTTCTTGAGTGATATCATCATTATCGGAATAAAATTCTTGATACATTGAAAATATATTAATTTAAAATTTATTAATTATCAAAATTTTAATTTTTTCTTTTCAAAAAATATTATATTTACATATAAACGTTAGTTCAAAAAAAATCATGATTTGTTTATAGTACCAATTTTTTAAAAGTTAAGTGCATTTATAGTGAGTGATACAAAGTAGGGATAAGATTTATTTGAATTATTCATTTTATTCATTATGAATTTGAATATTCAATTTACATTGAAATAAATTCATAATGAATAAATGAATAATTCAAATAAATTTTTTAATTCAAATAAAAACTAATACTGATGATTTTGAATAAAATAAGTTATGCACATTGCTAATCTGACCCCAATTAAAAAATTTTTTCTTTATCAATCTATTTTTCCTTAGTATTTAGTCCTTGTATAATAATAAATAGTAGTAGCTGACATTTTCCTTTTCTTTTTATTAAGTCATGGTACTAGCAACCATAGTAATAGTAATATATATTATAAACATAATTATTGTAATTTATTATATAAGAAATGACCTATATTTTATAAAATGAATAAGATTGACTTGTATTATGAATAATTCAAATAATAATAATAATAATTTGTATTATGTAAAAAATTCACTTGGTCAAATAGTGACAAAAACTATATATATAATAAAAATATAATACATAATATTAAAATCAAAGAGACTATATAGGACACATATCCAACATATTATTGGATAGCATTTTGATAAATACATTTTATTTACCACAATATAAAACTTTGTTCATAGGACTGACAATTTAACTACAGTTTAAAAAGTTTTGCCTATAGTTTAGGCAATTTTTAAGTTTCATCATTGATTTGCTAAAATAGTTTCAACTATCATATACACTATGATGTGTGCATGAATTAATTCAAACTTTAACCATGATGAAAACTTTTTAATTTTTTAATTTTTAATGTAACATCAATGACCAAAAAAGTTTTGCTAGCAAATAAATTGTCATAAAACATGCTTGTGCTATGAATTAAGTCTTTATATCATGAATTGCATCTCACATCAGTTGTATAAAATTATGATGGATGGTGCATGCAAACTTTTGATTGCAATTCAATAATTTTGACTTCAAGTATAATTGGTACAGTCCAAAAGGTCTTCGGGTTTCGGGTCGGGTTCGGGTTTTTCGGTTCGGTCCTAACCAACAGCCCGAACCCGGCCCGAGACCGACCCGAAAAATTTCGGGTTGAAATTCTTAAACCCGAACCCGGCCCGAATCGAACCCGACCCGAAATTATCGGGTTAGCCCGACCCGTTTAGGAGCTTTAATTCTTCCAATTCCAAGAAAATTATGATTACACCATGCAAGTATGTATTGCTTTATCTAACAGGTGACAAAATAAATTTGAAATTATTAGTATTTTCCATTTCCACTTAATATTAAAATCAAATAAGATCAAAGATTGAGTTAAAACTAAACTATTACACTTTACAGAACTGATAAATCAAAACTGTCCCATGTACACATACAGTCAAGTATATATACATTGTGCTACTGAGTTGACCATTGCTTCTAGGAAATCCCCATAAGGTCCATAAGTTAATAATGTAAATTATGACCTAACAAATTGTGAAGGTTGTTCCCCTCCATTTTTACACATAAAGTTATAAATATCTCTTATATTTCTTGCAGTATTCACATTCCTATTCCACAACATTCCATTGCCATCATTGCAAACTCTGCATACATTTAATGAATATATTTTTTGAGGATTTTGGAAAGGATTTTTACACTTTGAGCAAATCTGTAAATATAAAGGTGAGTGAGACATATTGCATTAAAAACAGATATAAGAATTATTTAACATACCTGGATTGTTTTAAATTCATTTACCAATCAAGTGGTACATCTTCTTTTCAACTCTTGGTATAACTGTTTTTTGGTCCTGAAGCATAACCAGGAAAAGAAGAGGAGAATCCACCAGATCCATAAGCCACAACTACATCAGAATAATGCCAGTCTTGTGGTTTACCAATGATCTGTTGACACATTTTAGAAAGTGCTTGTTGCTTGCTGACATAATTATCAAATTTTATTTGCAAAAGCAAAGTGCACCATAAAAAGATCGGAAGGTATGATAATGCATTAAAATAAATTGAATATGATTTAAGAAGTTGGACTTGGTGAATACACGTGATGTAGGTAGAGCATTTTGTAAGTTTTTGATATTTTGATTCTATAATGAACTAATTTGGTCATTAACAAATAAAATCACTAATTTTTATCTAACAAATAGTAAAGGTGTTAAAAGCTTACTTGGTTAAGCCATCTTTTTATTTTCTTCCTATTTTGCCATATCTCTGTACTCCTTTGTCCCACAATGAGCAACTCTTTCTTTATTGTCGACAACAACAAATAAATCTTTCCTCCCAGGATCAAGACCAATCACATCTTTTCCAGAAATATTAGTTATTCCACAATGAACTCATCCTTTGTATTTCATTTTTATTACTCGAATTTAGAAGGCATTTCTTAAACTAAAGCTTAATTCTATTTTAAAAAATTTATTTTTATAAATTAATTAAAATGTTAAAACATTTAATGGTGGCTTTAATTATTTAAACATAAGTTTATCTATTATTATATAAATCAAAGGATGTAATTCATAGTCAGCTTAAGCTTTTTTTTATTGGTCCGACATCTTTTCTTTCTTTTATTATAAAAAAATTATGGCAATGCTTAACTTAACGTTAACATTAAAGTAAATGATGATGTTAACGTTAACGTTAACTTTAAACTACTCTATACATAACGCAATCATTTTCGTAACATTTTGTGGCTCTTGTAATATACAAAATTTAAGATTTATTGGCATCAAAATTAACTATTAAACTTTAATATTATTAAGTAAAGAAAGAATTTATTTACAAGAACCTAAAAATTTATGTTTTGTATTTTGTTTCGGGTCATGCTTAGGTTCACAAAAATAAAATTTCTCGGAATTTTCACTAGAGCAATAGACATGCTAAAATCATGAAGTTTGATACATCATAATTTAGTCTACATAACGATACAAGTTTCAGGTGTATTAGATACTCAATCAGGGATTAATTTTTAGAAACGCATATTTCACAGACATATTTTTCAATAATTGAGTTTTCTAATACACAAATTTTTATTGCATGCATAATCTGATTTTCCATTATCAATGATGCATTATTGTTTTGGCTGAAATAGTCAGAGAGGAAGAAACCCTCAACATCAAAGGATTCTTTTTTTTCTTCTTCCTAGGTATGATATACCAAACCTGAAGCTTGATATCTACCATATTAGATAACAACCACAAGAACCTTAATTCATATACCATTAACCTGTGGTAAGATCTATCACTTTTAGTCCATGCAAAGTGCATTTATTTGGATTAATTATGGTCTTGATAAAGCTCTGAAAAACAGCTTAGATTTTATTTTATGAAACTAAATGAAATTTATTTATCGTAACGACTTTACTATTAGCATTCATTATTCCTCAAATATTTATCTAATTCAATCATTACTTTGCATTTTCAATTATAAAAGAAAAACCAAAACCCTTCGAAAAGAGTTGAAAATATTTATTTCTGTTTGCCTATAATATCCACCGCGTTATTTTAAGCTTTCGAAACTGTTAATTATCTATAAGGATTGTGCCATACAATATGAAATGTAAAAATATATAAAAATTCTACTTGCTGAATTTGAGGCGATGATTTTTTAACTTCTGATTGATTTATATTTTTTATTTAGATTAATTTAGTTTCTAATTCTTTTATTTTTTCTTGATATATTTCTGAAAGAAAATTTTGTAATAATTGTGTTAATTGTTAATAAAATAATTAACGAATTAACAATTACACCTGTTTTCAACTAACTCCAATATGTTATTATACTCTGAACAAATTTGGTTGCCAGATTCCTATTGATATTAATATGCTTGCAAAACATGTAGCCAATATCAAACAACATGCTGCCATGAAACCATTGGGTGTTTTTGTGTGTTGTTAACATAAAAAAAAAAAACAAAACAAATTATTATTATACAAGTTAAAACGTAAATTACTAAATTAAGAAAAAATAAATAGAGATGTTGAAACCGGTAAAAAACCCCCAACAGGTTTTTAACCAGTTAAATATAATTTAGCCGATAATATATACGAATATGGTTTCATTTAACAAATATTTACGATTAAAAATCCCCAAATGCATATCTGTTTATTACGAATTTGCGAATCATTTTAACAATACTTTAGTATTTATATTAACCGGGTTCCTAAAGATAGTCATAGGACATATAAGATAATTTTTCGTTATACAGCATAGAAAATTTAATTAGATAGAGATTTTTTAAATAGTAAAAAATCGGGCTTAAATCTCAGTTCGTTATAGAACAAGAGTCGTTAGAGAAAGTGTCGTTATAGAGAGTGTGTACTGTGTATAAAACTCATCATGGTATTTTTATTAAAAAATAGTCTCCACCCACTTGAATTCCGGTTAAAGCACACCATTGATAGCAGAAGTAGCTTTATGAGAATTACCAGAAAAACCATTATTACCAAGAATAAGAATATTAGCAGTAGATAAACCAGAAAAGCATCACCAATAACAACAACAACAACTTGTTTTGTTTTTTACTTTTAAAGTTACAAAAATGAGATGACCAATCAAATATTTGTGTACATTTATCAAAATTATGAAAAAAAATCTTGGCAATAAATTTTTAGAAACTTCTATTTTTTGCGCAGAACATTTTATGTGTAAATCAATAAATTGTGACATAAACAAAGAAAATTATCAGCGATCACTCACGAAATTTTTGAATTTATAAAAATCCTCAAATTTATAGGAAGATCTTCTAAAACATCACTTAAATCATTTGAACGAATCTAAAGCAATTGAGTTATTGTCACAAAACAAATAAACTTTAAAATTTTATTATTTTGGATATTCGTAATAGCAATGATAATGTAATACAAATATATAAGAGTTTTACGAGTGTCCAAATAAATAACAATAAATTCAAATATATTCGAAAAAAAAATTAGATATTTGGTATTAGAAACGGGCGTAAATGCTATTACCATTATAATTATTATAATTATAAAATGTCGAGCGCGGAATCCTATTACTATTACTACTACTGCTACTGCTACTACTATTACTACTATTATTATTATTCTTTATCGGAAGTTCCTGTTTTGCCGAATGGTAACGGAAGATTATTTGATTGGTTAATCTTATTATTATTTCACACATTAAAAACAAATGCACAAAAATATTACATTACTAATACTTGATGTCCAATTACTTCTGTGTATCACGCATCAAAATTTTCAGGTATATTAAGAAAATTTTTTGGACAAAAGAGCATTATTATTATTATGTGTTCAGTGCAGCCTATTAATTCTTATGGATTTTACCAAAACCTCGTGTTTAATAAATAATTTGGGATTATTTGTTTGTAAAAAAGATTCTATCCCTTATTTCACAGAAATAAGTATTCGGTCTTACCTGGTCACAAAAGATTTCGTGTGTGAGGAAAACATGTATTATAATAAAAACAATTATGCAATCTTGTTGTAATAAATGCTTTTTTTGTTTTTTTTTTTTTTTGCAAGATTTTCAAAAATTTACTTTCATTTATTTATTTTTGTCTTTTTATTCCTTTTCTTCTTCATTCTTTTAGATTTATTATTAAGTTTAAAAACTTTTAAATAATAATCATAATAATATAATAATAATGAAAATGATAAACAAGACAAGACAGTTTACCGTTTTAGTGAAAGTGTTTACTATAATGATAACTTTTGTATTATTATTATCAGCTTGTAGTTATTTTTTCATGCCAATTCATTCCACGGTACCACATATACCTTTAAACGACTATACTCCTATTAAAAATAACAATAACATAACAACAACAACAATTACCGACTCTACTACATTGCCGACAACAACTACAACTGATTCAAACATTTCAACTTTAGATTTCCCACAATTGGAATCTATCTTTACTGGAGGACATTGGTTTACTGAGCCAAATATGATTACGTTTTTCATAAGATTTGAGAACAACCAGAATCAACTAAATTTTGATTTATCTTCGATTAATGCTTCTTTAGCTCTTGGCAACGAAAAGGTTTTGATGAATGGAGATATGAATGTTTTTGGTGATCACGGTCTATTTACAACAGGTAATTTAAATTATCCGAAAAAAATTTAACTTTTACCCTTAATCTTATATTATATATGTATGTATGTATGTAAAGTATCAATGCCTAGAATTGGTCATTGCCGTAGTTACTATTTTGAATTATTTACACCGGATGGTTATAATCGATGGCCAAAGAAAAATGTATTATACACAATTGAAGGTGGTAGATGTCTTATGCCATTAAGTATGTTTTTAAAATCTAATTGTAGCAATCTATAATGGGATCATCATCACCATTATATTAACAGAAAAATTTTTTTTAATCCTTTTATAGATGAGTCGCTTGCGTGGTTTTTATTTATAGTTGACTTGGCGATTGCACTCGCCTATTTCACCATTCCAATTCAACTGATTTATTTCATGAGAAAAGGTTTGTAAATTTCTATGATAAAAAATCACATGATCCCAAGAAAAATTTTTATAAATAATAACATATTATTTTTATATACATTTGATACAGCACCAAAACTACCATTTCCTCTAGTATTTGCTTTATTTTCAGCCTTCATAATATTATGTGGAGCAACTCACATAGTAGCCGCATGGATGCCTTGGAATCAATCCTATGTTATTTCTGCAATAATAAAAGTTATTTGTGCTGTAGTATCTTTGATAACTGCTGGAGCTTTAGTAATCATCATTCCTAAAGCGTTGGAATTACCTCTATTAGCTGCTCAATATAAAGATGAAATTTCTTCAAGATTATTATCCGAAAGATTTTTACGTGATGAAAATCAATTAATGTCCAATTTTCGACGTGTAATTCATGCTGTATGTGAAATTTATTTATTATTATTATTAT